GGTCATCCATTTCAAGCAATACAAATACTGGGATGTAGTTTAATGAATTTTCTGGAGGTGGTGGATAGAAACCAACAATAGTGTCTTGAGCTCCATTTACGTGTTCGTGGTGAATTTATTAAGACGATTTCTCGAGAGAGACACTCTGCGAAGCTGTGCCCTCACCCCCCTTCTGCAGGTTATGGCCACACTGAGATTTCTCGCCACCGGAGGTTTTTATTCCTTTGTAGCCGATACATTTGACAGCCTGTCCCTATCCACTGTGTGTAGGGCGGTTAAGGATGTGTGTCATGCTTTGTGTCAGATGTCACGGCAATTTATAAGAATGCCAGCAAGACATGCAGCTGATGGAGTGAAAAAGCATTTCTATTCCATCGCAGGTAAACAACAAAACAAGGGAAGTAATCACAGAACAAATGGGTGCAAGTTACATCGTACCATAAATCCTTCGAATCAATAAAACAATAGCCGTTTTGTTTTCGCATACATCTTACACTTTGTTGCAATAACACTTTAAAAAAAAAATACAAAAAGAAAGAAAAGATACGGAACGATTCCTATTTATGCCATCATGTACACATTATTGGCCAACAAAATATATGGGAAAGGTGGGATTCACAGGTACCTGAAGTGTGGACCCCCCCCCCCCCCCACACACACACAATAATTTAAAAAATCGTAAGAACTTATACTTTCTCAAATATATAATATTTCCCCATCAATCACACTCAATCACGACCTATGCCGTTTCATGCAAGCAGATTGTACTTCTTACGTTTAGAGATTGCATGGCCATGTACAGTATATAATAAAGTTTATTATAACGTAAATGTATTATACATGCATGGCCATTCTCTAAACTTTAGAAAACGTACAATCCTGCCTGTATGGAACGAAAAATGGGTGTGATTGACTGAGAAATCTCATTCTTGAGAAGTTGAAGACTCTTACTTAATTTAAGAAGGGGGCATCCACACTTCAGGTGTTTGGGGGGGGGGGCACTACCTCAATAACAAAATTGAATGCAATTTAAAGAAAATAATTAAGAATAACTTAAAGCCAAAATAGTGGATAAATTCAAGACTTTTCTAATAGAAGATGATTATCATTTTCCCTTATTAGTTGCAACATGATTGATGTTTTTTTTTTAATGTGTTCACATAGTTACTTATTTCATGGTCCTAGGTTTTCCAAATGTCCTCGGGTGCATTGATGGTACGTACATCAAAATTCAGGCACCTTCAGAAAATGAACAGATTTCTTGAATAGAAAAGGGTACCATTCTCTAAATGTACAGGTAATTTGTTTTAATTATTTTGAATTATAATTATTTGCACTGGCCATCGTAAAATTAATATTTTTTAAAGATTTTTAAAAATGATAAAAATCTCTATCGAGTAATAATATTTAATTATTCGTACTATCAGATGATCTCCGATGGCAAATTTAGAATTTTGAACTGTGTCGCCAAGTGGCCTGGAAGTGTACATGACAGCAGGATTTACCAAGACAGTCATATAAGCATTGCTTTTGAAAATGGTAACTTCATTTGTAAAGTTTTGTTAAATTGAATAATTATTGAAATCAGTATATATACATGTATATGGAAAGAAATCCCATTTTTCGACAGCGATAAATTCAACAAAATTCTTTAAACGTGTGATGCTAATCATCGATATTTCCCTAAGAGTGGCAAATTGGAACAACTTTTGGGGTTTGGATTCAAAAGTTTTAAGATCTAATGAAGAAGATGAAGATAACGAACTGCGATCGATCTCATAAAAACTAGGCATATACATGTACAAACAATACAATTCTGTGAACGATCATCTCATAAAAACTAGGCATATACATGTAGAAACAATACAATTCTGTGAACAGGGCTTAAACAAAGAGTTGTACATGTACCAACATCAAAGCACCTGACATTTGACCCAATATATGTAAATGTCATTGTAATTCAATATATACCACATACGTTTTCTATTTTATTATTGAGTGCATATATTAAGGACCCCCCCCCCCCTCCCTTTCCAAGGTTGAAAACCATTTTTTACTGCTATTGACAATTATTGCCTGGGTCACTACCGTGGAAAATCACCGATTAGCGCTTATTGCACTTTTACTGAGTTTTTTTTTTTTTTTTTTTTTTTTTTTTTTTGCCACGGTTTGATTAAAAAAAAGGGGGGGGGGCAAAAATATGATAGTTTCAAGTAATCTTATACATTCTTTATATTTAAGGACAATATCCAGGACTACTCTTGGGGGACTCTGGTTACCCTTGCAAACCCCACCTAATGACACCGTACCCCGTCCCTTCAAATGATGCGGAAGCAAGATTTAACAATGCTCACGCTAGAACCAGAGTTGTCATCGAACAGACCTTTGGCATCTTGAAGAAGAGATTTTACATGTCTCCACAGCGACTTAAGAACAACTCCTGAAAAGGCGTGTGATATCACTCTGGCCTGTGCAGTTTTGCACAATATAGGAATAGATCATAATGACATACTGGATATTGATGATGGCGTATATATCAACCAAGGGGATGTAAATTTTAATGTTAGGGATCACTGGGATGGCAAAGATGTTAGAAATTACATATGTAGGTCGTTTTTTTCATAAAGTATTATGCCACAACTGTATCCCTGGTACAGTTGTCTATACATGTATGATATTTCCATTTGAGTTTATATAGAGTTTACAAATCATAATAGACTAGTATGGAAAAAGAATAACAGGGTTTGAACAGCATGTGAAATCAGATATACATAATTTATTATGCCCCCTTAATTATAAATTCGAGGGTACATGTATTTAGTTTTTGCCCTGGCCGTCCGTCCGTCTGTCTGTCTGTTTGTCCGCAAAAACTTTAACCTTGTCCATAACTTTTGATTGTTTGAAGCTATAACTTTCATATTTCAGGTGTATTCCTTGTGACAGGAACAATCTTTGGGTACCAACAAATTTGACATTTTGACCTTGATTTTGGAGTTTTACCCACTTTAAAAACAACTTTATCCTGGGCCATAACTTCCGAATGGTTGTTGTTTAGGCTTGTATATTCATTAAGACAGGTCCTTATCTTTTATAACAACACTTTTGATCTTTTGACCTAGACCGTGGACTTTGGCCTTCGCCAAAAGCTGTCATACAGGGGGAATCAGTGTTTTACAAACAAATCTTGATTTATATTATGCATGCTATACAACCTTTTGGGTTATAAGTGGTAAAAACAATTTATATGGCATTGAAATATAGATTTAAGTAAAAAAAAATTCAGTACAACGATGAACACTTTGAAAATATTTTTGAACTTCTTAAAAATTACCAGTAATGATATATCAGATATCAATAAAAGAAAACGCAAGTAACTAATTATGTAATTGTTTATTATATTAACGCTGCACTGCTACATGTATCACTTTACACACAGGATATTATAAATTAAATTTTATAGAAAATTAGTTAATTCAGTGAATTAAGAAAATAAAATAAGAAAAAAGCTAAAATTATGGGTACAGTATTTGGAACAGAGATATACACTGAGAATTTTTGAGAGAGAGTATCTGTATGATTTTTTTAGAACATTTATGAAATGATGAAAGATGAAACATTTCTCTTGCAAAATATACAAATGTAACACATTCTTTTGGTCAAATTCCATATAATTAACTTATGATGATTAAACAAAATAAAAACACTAATACCAGTACTACATGTATATTTACATAATACACAATTATTTTTAAAATCTTGACATGTAATAATCAAACAGCGATTTCTTAATCAATGTCCAATAAATTTACACCAAAAACTTGCTGAGAGTTTTTTTTTTCTTTATAAATGAACACAAGCATTTAGATAGCAGATTTAGTGATGGAATCATTAATAAGGCAAGAGATTTTTTATTACAGGTATCTGGATATAAGGATGTCTGTTCCATAGGAAGGAACCATAACTCTTGAATATATCATTTATTTAGATGTCTTAAAATTTTGCTTTATTTGAAATCAATTAATTGTGTGCACCAATTTTTAGTTCATGCTTTTAAAATAATAAAATATCCACTTAGTTTAAAAACTTTAAAACAGTCTTATAAATAATTGACAAGTGCTCCCTTTACAAGAACAAAAATTAACATTCTGTAAGATGTAATTTTCTGTAAAATTTGTTACAATTCTTTTGAAACCTTGCAGTATTTAATATCTCAGAAAGAAAATTTCTGTTCAAGAAGAGTTCATGAATAGATGCATTTTGCTAAAATGTGGCTAGAAAATGTTTATATACATGTGTATCTATCTTTACCACTTACAACATATTTTTTATAATACTAGTAATGTTGTTTTAGTATTTAATAGTGGTAATAAAATATTTTATTATTTTAAAAAATTGTTTTATTTTATTATTTAAAAAAAAAAGTTTCATGCAAATGAACAATAAAATAATCAATACATGTACCCGGTATCATCTTAAAGTGGAGAGTCTAAGAAAGGTGAAATAAATCATCATGTTAAAAATATAGCATCCATGTATTAAAAAATACATTTTTGTTCCTATTTAAATGGAGATTAAAGTTTATGACAGAAGTACATGTACAGATGGCAAATTTAGAATAACTGATTCTCAGCCAGTACAAAAAAATTGTCCCCTAATCTTTGATCTTAGGCATAATGTAAAGAAAATTCAACATTTGTAGTTGAATGAGGAATTTATTTCACTCATGACACAGGATTTTTGGAAAAAATATTTTTACTCTGCTAGTACTCATGAAAAAAAGTCCCATTAATGAAAATAAATTCCGTATTCAACTAGTAAACATTGAATATACTTTATATACTCATATATGTAGGCCTACAGTGAATTTCTTTCTTTATAAAACTTATTGTTCTGAATTTCTTTTTGATTGTGACGTTTCATTAATTTTCTTTTTTAAGAACAATGTTTTGATTCTATAATATTCAGCTTCTTCTTTCAGCTTGATTGTCTCCTGAATATACTTCTCCCTCTCTGTCTTAATCTCCTCATCCTCCATGGTTTTCCTCCTTTTGGATGTCTTAGTTGAGATAGTTGATGGCAACTGTAGATCAATAATTTGACCAAACTGGGTGCTGTCATTTATAGGAATTTCCATGTTTGTACATGAAATACCTAAAAAGAATAAGCAAATGTAATATGTTCTTTTATTAGATAAAAATTTCAAAACATAAAAATTGCATTATTCATATTAATTATCATACTTTGATGTAAATTACTAGAATCCGAATGGTCATTTAGATTTGGAGCCCTTGAGGGCATACAAGTAAATATTTATCTTTTCCTTGCATTGATGCTGACAGTTTAGTATAATTCTTTACACAAATATTGCATGAAGCTGAGGGTAACAATGGTTGAGAATGATTTTTTCAACTATGTATGAATCTATTATCATTACATCTAATTAAAACAAACAAATTAACATTACAAATATTAAGTTCTTACTGTTTCCTAAGCAAGTATCTCCACTAGCTAGCACCTCTGAGAATGAATCACCAGCAGTACTTTGAAGACAACCAAGAACTACTGAAAAATAGTGATATGGATTATATACCCAATATGTAATTAACGGATATCTTATCAAACCTTAGGTATAAATATTTTTTTTAGATACCGATACTCAAATAATAAAATACCTTCTTCTGTATCATGACCTGAAGACAGACCACAAAGAGTGGGTCTGTCTTCAAGATGATTTAGTATTTCTGTTTCCACTGGAGAAGGAGAGGGGGGTTTTGGACCTCCACCAGTGACAGGACGTCTAATTGCATCTGATTTTTCTTTAGCTGCATAAAAACAAAATATTAATATTGTCATCCATAATTTTGCCATTACTTATTGGAGAGATTTCCCAGAGAAACAAAATCATAAGATTTTTTTTATATACCTGAAAATTCTCCATTCATATATTTAGGTTATCATAAAAGTGTCTCTTAAATTGAAGGCTATAAGTGATATATGGACACATTTTAAAAACAGATGAAAAAATTAAATAAACTAGAAACTCATTGCGAGCAATGAGAGGTCTTCCGTCCGATTTTGAAAATGAAAACGTAAATTGAAGCTAAAAAGTGATGAAAAAAAAAACAAAAACAGACACACTTGAGATTTAACCCTTGTCGTCAGCGTGAAAATCCAACGCGCTAACCATTTCGCCATTTGGACTCCCCCTTCAAAGTGAAAATGAAGAATATCTAGAGTTTGGTTTTATCATTTCGAAAACAAATTATATATTTAATATTTTGAAAAGAGGCTCTCTTAACACTACAAATATTACAGAAAAATATTGAAGTAGAAAAAATCGATTTTTTAAATTCGCTTCCGGTAGCGACCGGAAGTAACGACGACGCATGAAAGGGTCCCCTCTCCAATCTAAAAATCATGTTCTATCATCTCTAACAAGTCTCCAGTTCATATCTTTAGCCATTCTTGAAAACACTCACAGACAAAAGTTTCATTTTAAAATAAAAAAAATGTCCATAACTCGGCACAGGAACCGAATTTTCCAAAAAACGGAATTTCATATAAAACTCATATAAAGATCTTTTATCTCTGAAAATTTCAAAGAAATTCATTGGATAGTTCTCGAGAATTCGCGTGCAGAAGATTTTGTCTAAAAAACAGAGAATAATAAAAATTCTCTAGAGTTTGGATTTATCAATTTTAAAACAAATTATATATTTATCATTCTTAAAAGAGTCTCTATTAATCCTACTAATATCATAGAAAAATATTGAAAAGCAGAAAAGTTGAAAAATTCGACTTTTTTAATTCGCCTCCGGTAGCGACCGGAAGTACTGATGACGAAAGTCAAGATCGATTTGCACATCTAGAAGTCATGTTCTATTATCTCCAACAAGTCTCCAGTTCATATCTATAGTTGTTCTTTAGATATCCCGCGGAAACTATTTCATTTTAAAATCAGAAAAATGTCCATAACTTGGAATCAGAAGCGAATTTTCCAAAAATTCTTTTAAATGTAACAATGCCATTAATTGGCGCTTTATTCCTGAAAGAATGATGAAAAACCACTGAATAGTTCTCGAGATATTGCTTGGACAAAATTTGTCTAAAAAAAAAAAAAATAATAATAATAATAATAACTACATGAGATCTCGTTGCGAGCAACGAGTAGGTCTTCCGTCCGATTTTTCGATAAGATGAGATATGATTTTGACTATGATCTTTGTTAAAAGATAATAATATATATAGACTTCCCTAATTAGATTTCAATCCTTTGATTTTATATACATTATCAAAGAGCTATCGATGAATTGCTTTTGGCCCCTCTGAACCCCTAGTTTGAGGGGTCAGCCCCTTTTTCTTGATATCAATTGAAAGGTCTTGTGATTTTGAAAACGTTTTGTTCAACAACTATTCAGAGATTTCTTTTCGTTATGTAGATATGCTGAATGGAAATATTTAGGGGCCACCCCTCCAAGTCCTTAATGGGGCCGTTTGACAAAAATTGAAAGGGTGCATATTGTTTAGAACATTATTCTGACCATATTTTGTTCAGTATTGCTTTTCAAAATATTCCCCCTTTTCGAGATATAAAGCGTCAAAGATTTAGTATTCTGGCCCCTTGTGACCCCTTATTACGTAACATATGATCAGAATCTTATCATATATTGTCGTAAATCGTTAAGATAAGCATATTTGCTTCAGTAATGTATTACAAATTATTGATCGTTAAAGAGTTATAGGTTGAAGATTTTTGGCCCCGCTGAGCCCCTAATTTGAGGGGTCAGCCCCTTTTTCTTGATATCAAATGAAAGGTCTTGTGATTTTGAAGACTTTTTGTTCAACAACTATTCAGAGATTTCTTTTCGTTATGGAGATATGCTGAATGGAAATATTTAGGGGCCACCCCTCCAAGTCCTTAATGGGGCCGTTTGACAAAAATTGAAAGGGTGCATATTGTTTAGAACATTATTCTGACCATCTTTTGTTCAGTATTGCTTATCAAAATATTCCCCCTTTTCGAGATATAAAGCGTCAAAGATTTAGCATTCTGACCCCTTGTGACCCCTTATTACGTAACATATGATCAGAATCTTATCATATATTGTCGCAAATCGTTAAGATAAGCATATTTGCTTCAGTAATGTATTACAAATTATTGATCATTAAAGAGTTATAGGTTGAAGATTTTTGGCCCCGCTGAGCCCCTAATTTGAGGGGTCAGCCCCTTTTTCTTGATATCAAATGAAAGGTCTTGTGATTTTGAAGACTTTTTGTTCAACAACTATTCAGAGATTTCTTTTCGTTATGGAGATATGCTGAATGGAAATATTTAGGGGCCACCCCTCCAAGTCCTTAATGGGGCCGTTTGACAAAAATTGAAAGGGTGCATATTGTTTAGAACATTATTCTGACCATCTTTTGTTCAGTATTGCTTATCAAAATATTCCCCCTTTTCGAGATATAAAGCGTCAAAGATTTAGCATTCTGGCCCCTTGTGACCCCTTATTACGTATCATATGATCAGAATCTTATCATATATTGTCGTAAATCGTTAAGATAAGCATATTTGCTTCAGTAATGTATTACAAATTATTGATCGTTAAAGAGTTATAGGTTGAAGACTTTTGGCCCCTCTGAGCCCCTAATTTGAGGCGTCAGCCCCTTTTCTTGATATCAAATGAAAGGTCTTGTGATTTTGAAGACTTTTTGTTCAACAACTATTCAGAGATTTCTTTTCGTTATGTAGATATGCTGAATGGAAATATTTAGAGGCCACCCCTCCAAGTCCTTAATGGGGCCGTTTGACAAAAATTGAAAGGGTGCATATTGTTTAGAACATTATTCTGACCATCTTTTGTTCAGTATTGCTTATCAAAATATTCCCCCTTTTCGAGATATAAAGCGTCAAAGATTTAGCATTCTGGCCCCTTGTGACCCCTTATTACGTAACATATGATCAGAATCTTATCATATATTGTCGTAAATCGTTAAGATAAGCATCTTTGCTTCAGTAATGTATTACAAATTATTGATCGTTAAAGAGTTATAGGTGAAAGACTTTTGGCCCCTCTCAGCCCCTAATTTGAGGGGTCAGCCCCATTTTCCTGATATCAAATGAAAGGTCGTATCATTCTGCACAACTTTTCTTCTATATGTTTTAACAAATTCTTAACATGTATGAAGATATGAAAGAAAAGGTGTAAAATTTTGTGAGATGTTTCTGAGACATGTTTTGAGCCCTACCGAGCTTCGGCGCCTTTTGCGCTAGAGAGATTTGGACACCTGCCTGCAAATCTACAAACCTTCCCCTACCTTCACTGAAAATCTTGACTCAATATCTGAAGTCGTTTCAGAGGAGTTTCCAGGACAAGCCGACCCTCTGAAAATCAGAAAATCCTTAATATCTCGAGATGGAAAGTGACGTCATCTACGAAAAAAATTTCCAATAAGGTTCAGATCAATACCTATCAGATCTGAAAGTTTTATGAAAATCGGCCAAGACGTTACCGAGAACTTGCGCGCACAAAATCGGTAAGAATAATAATAATAACTAGATGAGATCTCGTTGCGAGCAACGAGTAGGTCTTCCGTCCGATTTTTCGATAAGATGAGATATGATTTTGTTTATGATCTTTGTTAAAAGATAATAATATATAGACTTCCCTAATTAGATTTCATTCTTTTAATTTATATAACATTATCAAAGAGCTATAGATGACATGCTTTTGGCCCCTCTGAGCCCTTAGTTTAAGGAGTCAGTCCCTTTTTCTTGATATCAATTGAAAGGTCTTGTGATTTTGAAGACTTTTTGTTCAACAACTATTCAGAGATTTCTTTTCGTTGTGGAGATTTGCTGAATGGAAATATTTAGGGGCCACCAATTCACGTCCTTAATGGGGCCGTTTGACAAAAATTGAAAAAGTGCATGTTGTTTAGAACATTATTCTGACCATCTTTTGTTCAGTATTGCTTATCAAAATATTCCCTCTTTTCGAGATATAAAGCGTCAAAGATTTAGCATTCTGGCCCCTTGCGACACCTTATTATGTAACATATGATCAGAATCTTATCATATATTGTTGTAAATCATTAAGATAAACATCTTTGCTTCAGTAATGTATTACAAATTATTGATCATTAAAGAGTTATAGATGAAAGACTTTTGGCCCCTCTCAGCCCCTAAATTGTAGTGTCGGCCCCTTTTTCTTGATATCAAATGAAAGGTCTTGTGATTTTGAAGACTTTTTGTTCAACAACTATTCAGAGATTTCTTTTCGTTGTGGAGATATGCTGAATGGAAATATTTAGGGGCCACCCATTCAGGTCCTTAATGGGGCCGTTTGACAAAAATTGAAAAAGTGCATGTTTTTTAGAACATTATTCTGACCATCTTTTGTTCAGTATTGCTTATCAAAATATTCTTCCTTTTCGAAATATAAAGCGTCAAAGATTTAGCATTCTGGCCCCTTGTGACCCCTTATTACGTAACAGATGATCGGAATCTTATCATATATTGTTGTAAATCATTAAGATAAACATCTTTGCTTCAGTAATGTATTACAAATTATTGACCGTTAAAGAGTCAAAGATGAAAGAATTTTGGCCCCTCTCAGCCCCTAATTTGAGTGGTCAGCCCCTTTTTCTTGATATCAAATTAAAGGTCGTATCATTCTGCAAAACTTTTCTTCTATATGTTTTAACAAATTCTTAACATGTATGAAGATATGAAAGAAAAGGTGTAAAATTTTGTGAGATGTTTCTGAGACATTTTTTGAGCCCTAGCAAGCTTCGGCGCCTTTTGTGCTATAGAGATTTGAAC